GTGATCTCATAAGAGGGTAATGCGCGAATAAGGAAAAATGAATATAACTCACAATCTATGGCAAAGCCCAGACGGATACGAAGAAGGATGATGCTCTATTTTTTGTGGGATTAAACAGTTGTGCATTATAAATTTCTGCCGTCTGGCAAGCTGCGTGATTTGGGTTTCTACCGTAAACAATAACAGGATTACAAGAAGCCATTGAAAAAATAATCACTTGTATCGCTCTCTGCAAAACCCTCGTAATGGTGTTAATCTTGCTTCAATGGGTATTATTTGTCACAGTTTTTCGCACGTAAGTTCTAAAATTATGGATATATAGCATTACGAGAAAATTATAAAAGATCATAGATCCAAAAAACGCAGATTTTGTTTAGTTAGATTATATATATATATATATATAAATAGTCTCACTAAATAAACAATATTTTTGATTTTTCTTGAAAGCGATCAATCCTTTTTCGACAACCTAATGTTTCAATATATTCAAAATCCACGCAGATTGCATCATGGACTGTTGCGAAATCTATCCTTATGCCAATTCCTATACAATAAGAGTCGGATACATTATACTTTAATATAAAACAGTTAGTACAAGCAACATTTTTTTAACAAATAAATAATTAAACGGCTGTAATAATGTAGAAAGAAATTAAAACCGTTAAATCATATCATATATAAAACGTGTTCCAAACGAGCATTACACAGAAATATGTATGTATTGTCGAAGCGATCGAGTAAACCTAGGTTTTCTACTTTTAATTCATGTTCGAAACGTGATGATTTTTAGCGGAAAGATTCTATCAAGATTGGGCGGTAGCCTTTTTGTTGTATGGCTACATCTTCAGCAGTAAAAAAATGGTCGTGCTTGTTTGATTTCTATTAATAAAGCTTCTACAAAAGTGGTTTTGACATACATTTAAATTGAACATGATTACCGAGTATTCTTAGACGGACGATGTATATCCAAGGCACTCCAAGCGATTTCATTTCGGACAAACATATATAGCCATAAATAAAAATGAGCTACTGTTCGCACCTGTTTTCAACAGATATAACTTGCATTGTCTATATACTTAGTACGCTTTGGGGACGTGGATTTTGTTTTTTGCACAAATACTTTATGCACAATTAATGCTGATAGTATTTCACTGAATTAGGTAAACAGTGCTTTTTGGAGTCACTCATAATTTTTGGTGCTAAATTTTTATTCCGTTCAAGCACGACCAACTTATAATTACATTGGCTTCTCGGAGTCGTTCAAGCTTCTATATACAGATGGAAGTCGTCCACTCCTGAGGCTCTTTTACTATCAAATGGACGGTTTAATTTAATTTGTCAAACATTAAAAAGGGTGGGATTCCGCTGCCGCGGGAACTGCAAAATATGATGAGTGTAACAAGAACCTCCCAATGGAGTTGTTGTGTGGAGGCTTTGACGATTTTTGTCATATGTGGTTTGACAATGTCATGAAAAAGGATGATTCTATTTATCTATAAGCTCTTTTTCTTTCTATAGCTACATTCAACCGATGACATTGCAACATATGCAAATATCTGGCGACCTTCCTGTTCTTCTCATACATTTTCCAGTGCCTGAGATCCTTTCAACTCTATTGAGGACAATCATCTTGTTGACGTGGAGAGAATGTAACTGTGGGCTTAGGCGTACTTCCCGTAACTGACATGCCGAAAGACAATGACACAACTGTATATTTCTTTGCATTTTATTTAGTTTAAGAAGCACTTAGACTGTCGATGGTCATGAGACAGTGGTTCATCATCTTAGTTAATTCACGAGCTATTTGCCGGCGACCCTTTTTTCAGAATGCCTTTGGGTAGTCGTCCGAGGCTTCAAATGATGGACCAAACGAATGGCCGGCCGAAATTACCGCGACTCCGATTCATATCCTAAGATTTTGGCTTAATACAAAAAAAGAAAATACTCCAGTTAATACAGCTACTTAAAATCCTGGTCGTTAATGGCATCGCGAATTTATATAGTCTTTCTAAGAAATCCCTCATTAACAACCCTAGGACTGACATGATTCAAATGCTATATAAGGTTATGTGAAACAAGTTGCAGTTAGGTCTGGCGGGTTTACATTCAAGGCAACAACAGCGAAGTGTGCTTTAGGTACTCAAAAAACTAAAGTACTTAACCCATCTCACTTTAGAAGTTGCTTAATATTTGCAAGAAGTAGTACCTGTCAGTTTTTATTTAAGTAGTGTCTGATATGGCATCAGATACTCCAGTAGGACGTTTACAAAAACCTGAAAAATTTCTTGGAGAAGCTTCTAACACACGAACATTGGCATTCCATGCGCAGGGAATGATGTTTTTGTTCCTTTTTAATAACAACTACCATATTTATTTGTTTCCTAAAATTATCCACAGCAACAGGGGACGCTCCTCGCATAGACTGTTCTAAGCTCCGAAGCCCAAACCATTGTTTAATTAAGTATTCGTCTGGATGTCAGCTTTACGCACCGTGAGCAATATTTTAACATAAATTTGCGTTTATCATACTCCTATTAGAACAGAAACAATTAACAAAAACTTGGATTGTCTGTGTGGGTTGACTGTAAACACTCTTAAGCGAATTCTTGTGGGCAGTAATTTATTACATTTATCGTGGCAGAATTTCGTATGGGTAATATACTTGATTATTTTTTAATCGATCTTCTATATCGAAGCCTGGCTTCGTCAATGCCGTTCTGATAAAATGTTTTCTCCGGATCTGTATGCCGACAATTTATTCGCATCGCCTATCCCACTACTTCACTCACATTTAAACATTACTCTTCTAATAGGTGTGAATCTATCACAAAAAAGAAACAATTTCTAAGCAAATAATGTATTTTATTTAAAGTGAATAGCTATCGTTCTCTTGCAATGTAGGGAAGACGTCATATAAAAAGGAAAACGCTTAATTTTGACATAATAGACCATAGATGGTGATAAATCTGGTTTCCACCAGACAAACAATGGATATCAGCAATAATAAGTGTCGCTAACCGTGTTCCACACAGATCGGTCTAGCGGGAGCTGTGTGTAAACATATGTTCATGAAAAAACCTTTGTAGTTGAAATCAGTCATCGATAAGGAATTGACGATTGGCAAGAGCTACCTCAATGCAGTTTGACTTATATCACTGAAACAGAAATGCGACTTAACGAAGTATCCTATTTTTGTCGATAAATATAATTAAACAGCTCTAACATTTGCCTAACAAGATAGTGCTCGTCTGCTTCAAATTTATTCAACGTCTTCCGGTTCAACAGGATCGCAGCGCATAATACGCCTTTACCTAAACAAAATGTTCATCAAAATATATAAATCAGCTTATATATTGTATATCGATAATACAGATGTTTGTATCTTTCTAAATGATAATAAAAATGTTTCATATCTTAAAGGAACTGAAGATTTACTAGAAATATTGCTTTGAGCAGAGAGTACAACTCGAACGATCAATACTCATATAACTATCTAACTATACAGGAGGTCAAATCGGATCCACCGACTTCATATTTAGAGTACCCTATAATCACTACGAGGTTACGTGTCTAAATCAAAATTATTAAAGGTCAACCACTATTGGTCATATGTCTATAATGAATAGGTGCGCATTCGTATTTGTGAAAAGAAAGTTCTCGATCTGAAATAACTTAATTGTCGTACACACTACGAGATTGCACGTCGCTTCACTAGATGAGATGCTCTATAGGCGGTATATCAGTATAAAAGTCACACTAATAATCATAGTAATAATAATAACGCTGGTAGGCACTTGTAACAAGTGAGTTTCAATCTTCATCATACACGTTTGGCTTTAGATCTTTGCCCATACAAGCTTCTGCAGGCGAACATATGCGAGTGGTCTTCGGAGCTTAGAGCAGTCTATGCGAGGAACGTCCCCTGTTGCTGTGGATAATTTTAGGAAACAAATAAATATGGTAGTTGTTATTCAAAAGGAATAAAAACATCATTCTCTGCACATTGTTGGCACTGATGGAATGCTAATGTTCGTGTGTTAGACGAAGTTTCTCCAAGAAATTTTTTGTTTTACAGTTGTGTCATTGTTTTTCGGCATGCCTGTTACAGGAAGTACGCCTAACCCCACGGTTACATCCTCTCCACCTCAACAAGATGATTATCCTCAACAGAGCTGAAAGGATCTCAAACACGGGGAAACGTATGAGAAGAAGAGGAAGGTCGCCAGAGATTTGCATATATTGCAATGGCATTGGTTGAATGTAACTATAAAAAGAAAAAGAGCTTATAGATAAATAGAATCATCCTTTTTCATGACATTGTCAAACCACATACGACAAAAATCGTCAAAGCCTCCACACAACAACTCCATTGGGAGGTTCTTATTACACCCATCCTATTTTGCAGGTCCTGCAGCAGCGGAATCCCACCCTTTTTAATGTTTGACAAATGGAATTAAACTGTCCATTTGATAGTAAAAGAGCCTCAGGACCGGAGTGGACGACTTCCATCTGTAGATAGAAGCTTGAACGACTCCGAGAAGCCAATGTAATTATTATATTATAAGTTGATCGTGCTTGAACGGAATAAAAATTTAGCATCAAAAATTATGAATGACTCCAAAAAGCACTGTTTACCTAATTCAGTGAAATACTATCAGCATCAATTGTGCATAAAGTATTTGTGCAAAAAACAAAATCCACGTCCCCAAAGCGTACTAAGTATATAGACAATGCAAGTTATATCTGTTGAAAACAGGTGCGAACAGTAGCTCATTTTTATTTATGGCTATATATGTTTGTCCGAAATAAAATCGCTTGGGGTGCCTTGGATATACATCGTCCGTCTAAGAATACTCGGTAATCATGTTCAATTTGAATGTATGTCAAAACCACTTTTGTAGAAGCTTTATTAATAGAAATCAAACAAGCACGACCATTTTTTTACTGCTGAAGATGTAGCCATACAACAAAAAGGCTACTGCCCAATCTTGATAGAATCTTTCCGCTAAAAATTATCACGTTTCGAACATGAATTAAAAGTAGAAAACCTAGGTTTACTCGATCGCTTCGACAATACATATATATTTCTGTGTAATTCTCGTTTGGAACACGTTTTATATATGATATGATTTAACGGTTTTAATTTCTTTCTACATTATTACAGCCGTTTAATTATTTATTTGTTAAAAAAATGTTGCTTGTACTAACTGTTTTATATTAAAGTATAATGTATCCGACTCTTATTGTATAGGAATTGGCATAAGGATAGATTTCGCAACAGTCCATGATGCAATCTGCGTGGATTTTGAATATATTGAAACATTAGGTTGTCGAAAAAGGATTGATCGCTTTCAAGAAAAATCAAAAATATTGTTTATTTAGTGAGACTATTTATATATATATATATATATAATCTAACTAAACAAAATCTGCGTTTTTTGGATCTATGATCTTTTATAATTTTCTCGTAATGCTATATATCCATAATTTTAGAACTTACGTGCGAAAAACTGTGACAAATAATACCCATTGAAGCAAGATTAACACCATTACGAGGGTTTTGCAGAGAGCGATACAAGTGATTATTTTTTCAATGGCTTCTTGTAATCCTGTTATTGTTTACGGTAGAAACCCAAATCACGCAGCTTGCCAGACGGCAGAAATTTATAATGCACAACTGTTTAATCCCACAAAAAATAGAGCATCATCCTTCTTCGTATCCGTCTGGGCTTTGCCATAGATTGTGAGTTATATTCATTTTTCCTTATTCGCGCATTACCCTCTTATGAGATCACTTTCATGACCCGAATATTTTGATTTTATTGCATTTCCCTGAGTTTCGCATATAGATATATGGTCGAGCAAATTTCGGTCGAGAATTGCTTTCCCTGATAATTTTGACTTCGACTTTTAAAGTACAGAGGCTGCTGAAGATCGTGACTCGACCGCCTTTAGAAGAAAGACTTCACATTGTCGATTAGTTTGATTTTTTTTTAAAGATACTGACCCTAATCGCTTTGATTATTTGGATTTTGACCTTCTTAGTGACCGAATCATTGATCTTTTTGAGCCACGTTAAATCTGTTGTTTTGATGAAATTCTTACGCGTAGATACCTTCTCTTTTAGAACAACAAAAACTCGATCTGTTGTGAACACTTATGGTATTTCTTTTAGGGCGGCGTCGTACTCTTGCTGAAGACCTATATCTTATGAAGGCTTGTGAAGACCTGCTTCCAAATTAGCTGGTAGTTTGCTTTCCAATACTGCAGCGTTTCCAGAGGCTACCTGGTTAGCTGTCGTCCTACTAGTCCCCAAGAGGTTGGATTCACTTAATGAGTGCAACCCGGTAGATCCATACTGCCTCTTATAAAAAAAAAGGGTTATTATAGCATGTCGGTGCAATTTTCATAAGACCAAATCAGATCTATGGAAACCGATTGGCAATTCGGGCGAGGTACGATATTTGGATTATTGTCTGTCTCCACTTTAAAACGCTCCGCGTGAACAGTCTAATTGCATAATGGTTGTAATCATTCGCGTATTATCTACTGCAAACGTTCATGAGAAACTCTGTCATTCCTGCTACTCGGATTAACGAAGCTGATTAATCGCTCAGGTCCTGGATATTGATTTTTTTTGTTCTAGCGATTTATTTTCGGTGGCTTAACAATTGAAGTGTAGCGGATGATATACGAAAACTTTTAAATCGACTAAGTTTTACGACGCAGTAAACACTTGTCCTTTCCCAGTTGACGACGCGTTGACGTCGAAAGTGATCTACCTATTTAGTCGAAAAATAATGAATAACAGCGTCGGCTCTATTTATGCTTTTATGATTTGTAGAAGATCCAGCTGTTGCGTCGTTGCGCCATTATCTCTGCGAGGCGTTCAGGCCCGATAGCAGCAGATTTTTGATTACTCAGATGATAAAACAATTCTTAGTGTACGAAATATATGCAAAATTATATATTTGTGCCATCCATCTACAAGTCTGCTTGCTTGACCGTACTTGAGGATATCTTTATTTACTCAATCATTCTGGAAAAATTCTAAAGCTGTATAGTTCTATTATAACCGCATATCTATAATAAATGATAAGATCTAACTTCAACCTCATTATCATATTGCACGGTTCTTGAGCCATAAGAGAGCTTCATAGGTTCCATTAGAGCTTTCCAACAATTCACCCCTCAAAGATTCGTGGATCGGCAATCTTCTCATTGTCATTTGCACTCGCCGTATTCTCTGCGTGCCGTTCGAAAAATAATGCGGCACGCTACATTTTTTAAATTTATGCTTCTCACAATACTATGTATTAAGTTGTGTGATCAATGAGTCAACATTTAGCTTAATTAAAACCTACTCTGCTAGAGCTTAACCATCGCAGGTTTATAGCTTTCAGTTTCAACAAACGATTCGACGCTTTAGATAAATTTGATTAAGCGTTAGCGAAAGCAGTTTCCAATTTAATTATTTATGTGGTTTCCATAATAATTCCATTGGCTTTTAGTTCTACTATGTTGTATGATACGCTATTTTTTTCAAAGGATTGCGTGCAAGAGGCAACAAACTGAGGCAGCAAGAAATGTAAGGCAAAGAATT